TGGCCACTGCAGTCCCAGCCTGCTCTTGTCCAGCTGTGGGCAGCTACCTGCCCCTGCTGAAGCCCTGGGAGTGGTGGACACTGCTTGCTTGCAGTTGCTGGGCTGCACCATGCCCCAAACCCCCTGGGGCTCTGCTTCCCTTGGGGCACTGTGTCCCGAACCCCTGGCATGGCGGAGCCAAGCAGCTGCAAGCATGTGGTGTCTGCAGCTCCCAGGGCTGCAGCAGGGGCTCCAAGCTCTTCCCGGCACTCTGCCTGTCTTCACCCCAGCCTCAGCTGCAACGGCCCTGGCTGCTGCTAGTGCCAGCTGCCTGCACCAGGGCACAGTGCAGCCCAGCAGCTATAGGGAGCTGGCACTGGCTACTCCCAGGACAGCTGGAGAAGGAGCTGGGGTAAGTGGGAACAGGCAGACCCCGGGGAGGTTCGGGGCACAGTGCAGCCTAGTGGCTGCCAGCAGCTAGTGCTGGCAGTTCCGGAGGCTGCTGCAGCCGGGGCTGGGGTGAGTGCCATGCCCTGCACTGCCTAGGGCTCTACTTGTCCGCACTCACCCCAGCCAGCCCCGAGAGCAGCCAACAGGGAAACCTATTCCCATTTCTTACATTATAAGGTAAGTTTGCTTAATGCAAATTCAATTTATGCAGCGTTCTCCAGGAATGCATGTACCGCATAAAACAAGGGAAACCTGTATATGGTTATTATTTTTACTGATTTATATATATCCTGCTGGGCACATCCACAGTACAAATAATTAACAAATAATAAATGTCAACAGAATCCAACAAGTGTTTAACAAGTGTTTAATATTTTAACTAACTACTTAAATAACATTTACAAAGCATGAGAAATATAACATGCCTAGATATCCTTATATATTTTAATGACAAGTATTCACCAAACAACAATCATTAAATTATTAAAACATATCTTAAAAAGGTCTAAACTGATAATGAAGAAAAACTGAAAATACAAACTAATAGTCAAATCGAAAGGGACAGGATTTCTCTCTGAAATTCACCCACTGGTACAGTACTAAATCCAGCCTACTAACAAAGACTTCATGGCTCTTAAAAGTAATTTCTGAAGAGCAAATATTTTGCCTTGTAAATACATCAGATAGCACAGTATCAGAAAATTTTCACAAGGGACGATATCTTCAGAATGCCACTAAAAGTGACTTAAATGGGACCACAGGTTAATTCAGCACCTGATCCTCCCCAGGCCGTGGACTGTAAATTGCCAGCCCTTGCTCTAATCTTTCAAAAGGGCATATCTACAAATCCCTTTTCCCCATATTTATGTTTGAAGAGATCCAAAATAGGATAGTTGCATGTAGGGGGAAACTGGATGGCCTTCACACTAC